TACATCCATTTGTATCATACAGATTAACAGACTATACACACATCCTGTTATCTGACCGATTCAGGATCCCCGCACCGCAATCTCCAGCCCTCAAACTCTAATAAGGATTCATGTCATTACAAACTAAATCCTAGGGACTTTAACGTCCGGCAATTCGCTCTTTCGATACTCCGCTGTACACAGCTTCCAGATTTGTGCGCATGTGCCTGTCATCAGATTTGTATTATGTTGCTGCTGCTGCAGACGGAGTTTAGTCAAATTATTTTTGAATTAATACTCCAAATCTCACCTTAACACCCCATAATGGATCAAATCTCTAATGAGCTAATCTAAATCGATTAGAATTTTATGAATCAAATCGAATTAATAACATAAAAGAAATAAAGAAGAAGCAAGACATGTGGATAAATATTTAATACACGACTTGAAACAAACGATGCAATTTACACAAATAACAGGATTTCGTTTTCCACTGACTTTTGATTCGAGCTATTTCCAAAATCCTATGAGAAACTCCATTGCTAATTTGGTCGAGACCGGAACCGAAAGCCCAGCTTACTATCGCATTTACTTGGGCACCGCGTACCACACTAAGCAACACACTTAGTATGAAATCCACGCGATCTCTGACTATGATTAGATGAGGACAAGGAGCAGCGCTCCTGGCTTCATCTAAGGCATGGCCTGACAATCACAGGTTGGCCAGGGCATGACGTAAGAAAGCCAATCAAAAAAACCAATAACGTTCGATCATATAATAATACGCATATTACAACCTGCTCCGACCGTGAAACAAAACAAAAGTTAGATGATAAAGATAAATAGATATAAAAAATTCTCATTCATTACATAATTAACTTAATCATTTTTTGAGCTTGAAACCTTTTTCCCCAAAATGCTTAACAAAGTATTTTTTATGTTTAAGTTACCTAGTTGGAAGCTTTATTTTGGGGAAAAAAAAAAAACGGTAATTCGGAATGCCTAAGCAAATCTGTAAAAAAACTAGACGTTAAAAAATGGGATACAAAGACGATAATGATAATTATAATATATAGAATAGATCAAAATTTCATCTAACCGATAATCATTAAAATGGTGCATACAAGCAAACCCATGAATCTCACACAGAATAAGCAAAAACGTGGCTACCTACACAAACAAGAACCTCTCTACACCAAAGCTTTAGCCGTGCAGATGGCGATTCTATCATCCTAGAGAGAGAAGAGGAAGCCAGGCTTTAACCACTGTTCATTTCGGATTGTAGATATCATTTTAATAAATAAATATAAAAACTACTTCGTTTAGTTTCAGAAATTCTTTGTTGTCGCTGCTTGCTGCCGGTGGTTCCGGATTAACTTGTTTCCCGATCAACTTGTTTTCCCGATCAACCCCGTTTCAGTGGGGTGTCCGTGCGCTTTTCGACTGAATAACACATTTTCGATCGCTTCTTCTGTCGTTTACCATTATATCTTTTGGTATATTTGGCTTCTTAGGAACAACGCTTGATGCACATCCAGTACCAGTGTGTGAGGTTGGGATTACGATGGCGATATCCGGACGCGAACAGCGAGGACTAACAACAAGAAAAACGAGTTGGCTCGATATAATCATTTAAACCAGCTATTGTTGCCAGACTTATACGGAATATCGTTGTTAATGTCCAAAGTTCATTGTGTAATACCTTCAGACAGCCTCCAAGCTGAAGCAAACACAGTGTTTATACTCACGTGAAATTGAAAGCAGCGTGGAGGTACTTCTAATCTGTGTTAACCTGTGATCCTCAACCCAGGGAACTGGGGACCCGCGCACACGTTAAAATGCCGACATCATATTGAATATAATATATTATACACAGATGTAAAGACTGACACAATACTAGTTAGTAAAGGATTTATTGATGTGAATGTTTGAACAGTGAATACTTATTGTAAATCGCTTTGGATAAAAAGCGTTATGCTAGCTAAATGCAATGTATATGTAATACGTGAATGTAACAGGCAGTACACACACAGCGACTTGATATTATATGCGATTCGATATAGGATGAATCATGTTAGGACGAACGAGTTGAATGGAGAAGATCTTCATACCTGTGTTAAACCAGACCTCTCAGGGAACATGGTAAGACCGAAGACCCAGGTTTAAAATCTGACACCGCCAGGTTAAACTGTTACGATTTCTGTGTTTAAGTTTTCACTGTTCAAAAGCTTCACGTCAATAATCCTCATTACAAACTATTATTGTATGTCCAGTCAATTACATTTGTATCAATATATTATTATTAAATATGATGTTGAGTCGATTTTATACCCGTTTATACTTTCATACGGTCTGTTAGTGAACATACCAATTGACAAACAGGTGTATCCTACAGACTTAATTAATTAATTAATTTGCGCATTGGGTCACAGTCTATATAAATGGATTAACATTTCGCCATGTTATGAGGGATAGTGAGGAGAGATAGCGAGAGACAGAGAGATACAGGATACAGAGATACCGATATAGAGAGGATAGAGACAGATAGATACGAATAGCGAGATACAGATATAGAGAGATAGAGAGAGCCACAAATATTTATATTGTACAGCATAATGTTGCATGGCGAATATCAGGAAACACATGGCCTGATTTGCATATTTGAAGTTAATGTTTGCACTAGAACACATTTATATGTAAAATTAACACTTATCACAACATAATGTGGGCTCGCAGGCTGATAAACTAGGATATCTGATCTCTGTGGGTCTTAATGAGGCTTGATGCAGACCTCAGTCAGTATACTATTTCTAAGCAAATGCCTACTATAATATGTTTATTATATGGCTTAAAGTGTACATACATTCGCTCACATTATAAATGATGGTCGGGTTGCATTTTTCTAGAACTTGTTGACGATGTTAATGTAACAAAATGAGCTGTGGTGAATTGTTAGGACGTGATGATTCGTGGCGCACTCATAACGCGCAGGGCATGATTGATTTTTACTGTTGGGACTCGGGTTTGAGTCCAGCATGAACTTTTTTGTTATTTTCATGTCGATGCACATTGAATATTATGTTTGAATAGAGGATTCGTAATATTGTTTGCCGACACCAACATTCATGACCAAGCAGCATTTTAAAGTCTAAATATCACCAATGACATTTCTGCTGCTATCTTTGCAAAACCAGGTAACAGTCACATGTTATCTGGATGAGTGCTGCACAATACCGTTTTTATAAGGGATACATGTGTGGTTAGTCTTTCATATTAAACATGATCGCTGGTAGATAGCCACAGAAATCGTAACACAATTTAACCTGGGCGGGTCACATTTTAACATGGGCGGGTCCCAGTTCCCTGGGAGGATCACAGTTTAACACAGATGAAGACTTCTCCACGCTGCTTTCAAACTGTGAGTAAACACCGTGTGCTTCACTTGGAGGCTGTCTGAAGGTATACACAGATGGACTTGGACATTAACAACGATATTCCGTAATAAGTCTGGCAACAATAGCTGGTTTAAATGATTTATTCGAGCAACTCGTTTGTCTTGTTGTAGTCCTCGCTGTTCGCGTCCGGATATCGCCATCGTAATCACAACCTCACACACTGGTACTGGATGTGCATCAACGTGTTCCTAAGAAGCCAAATATACCAAAAGATGTATGTAAACGACAGAAGAAAGCGATCGAAATGTGTATTTCAGTCGAAAGCCACGCACCCCACTGAAACGAGTTGATCGGGAAACAAGTTGATCGGGAAACAAGTTAATCCGGAACACCGGGCTTAAGAGGTTAAAAGCAGCGACAAAAAGAAAAGTCTTCAGCCTGGATTTAAAAGTAGTCAGAGTTGCAGCGGACCTGCAGGTTTCAGGGAGTTTGTTCCAGATATTTGGAGCATAATAACTGAACGCTGCTTTACCATGTTTAGTTCTGACTCTGGGGACAGAAAGCTGACCAGTCCCTGAAGACCTGAGAGATCTGGATGGTTCATAATTTAGCAGGTCAGAAATGTATTTTGGGCCTAAACCATTCAGTGCTTTAAAAACTAGCAGCAGTATTTTAACATCTATTCTGTGACACACAGGAATTCAGTGTTAAGACTTCAGAACAGGAGTGATGTGATCCACTTTCTTAGTGTTAGTGAGGACTCGAGCAGCGGCGTTCTGAATCAGCTGCAGCTTTCTAATATATTTTTTAGTGAGACCTGTGAAGACACCCTTACAGTAGTCCAGTCTACTGAAGATAAAAGCAAGAACAAGTTTTTCCAAATCCTGCTGTGACATTAGTCTTTTAATCCTAGATATGTTCTTTAGGTGATAGTAGGCTGATTTAGTAACTGTTTTAATGTGACTGTTGAAACTCAGGTCAGAGTCCATGACTACACCTAGATTTCTGGCTTTGTCTGTTGTTTTGAACATTGCAGACTGAAGCTCAGCGCTAACTTTTATACGCTCTGCCTTGGCTCCAAAGCAAAACATTTTAATCCTATAATAGTAGTAGACTAGAATGTGACCTACAGATTAATTATATCTAAGTTACAGTTGGATACATATTTAAGGCAAAATGCATACATCGCAAAAGTGTATGCAGTCAATTAATAATGTCTGGTATAATAACTATATTTGAGGTTGTAGGATTGAGATTCTATAATATTTTGTATATAATTTTAAGTTTCTTCTTGAATGTCAACAGCTCATAGGATACAAGGAATATTTAAAAAATGTACTTGTAAAATTACTTTCAAACTGTTGTTGTTATTGTGGTGATAAACTGAAGTATTCCCCTTAGGAGTTTGTGTAACTTTCTACCCCATTGTGTTAGTAAGGAAAGCAATTGGTAGATACAGTGTGTTATGTCTATTGTTGAAGTGTGACAGGGATGTCTGGGTCGAACTCAGGGCACAACTTTGACAACTTGTCGGGAGGGAGGGAGGGGTTACATAGCAGGAAGTCTGTGCTCCTATCAGCCAATCACCGTCGAAACATCTGAATGGCACACGGAAGGTAGAGGGGCGGGGCTGCGGCGAGGCGGTGCTCTAGGCAAACCTGCCCGTCAGGTTTTACACACAAAGTGAAATCCCTGTGATGACAGACTCCTATAACGTGACAGGACACAGGACGACCTCGAGCTGTCACCGCATCACATATGAAAAGTGTCCACGCTATATGTGGCAGAGCTGAGAGGAAAACCAAGGTGAAGCAAAAACCAGTGTGTTTTCATTTTAGCAGACTGGAGACTGTGGAGATATCGAGCTGGTCTATATAAGCTGACTTTTCCATTAATAAAATCATTATAGGCTGCAGTAATGTAACCAAATGTAATTACACTGGTGCGGCTGGCACATGTGCTCAGGCTCAAGCCTCATATTTGTATCAATTTACGGACCTGAAAAAGAGGGGAGGGGGAGACGAGCTGCCCTGATACAGCAGTTCTGATAAGGGATTGCTGGACTTTAAATACATTTCGGCTATGATACAGTTACAGCAGCCAAATGGAAGTGTGCTGTCCCATTATTAAGGCTGAAGGGCGATGCTATCTACACTGAAGGAGACTATTGTTCTTTGTTCCTGCTTGAGGAAACAGTGTGCTGGTTATTAAAGACGGCAACCAATTGTAGCTGTGTGTTGAACCTCCCTGTATGAAGGTGAAGGATTTTCTGTATTACTCTATATGTCTGTCACAATTAGTCGGTGTGTTTGAAGAAAGCTATCTGTGCATGTGTAGAGTAAAGTTGTGTGCAGTGCAACACGTGACATGGATGAGTTGGTGTGTGTGGACGTCATAGTGATGTCTCAGATTCCAGCCTTTGTGTCCAGATGCCGTTCCACATGCATGCTTTCTGTCTGGCTTTGTGTCGCTCCCTCTCCATCTCTCAGTCTCTCAGGGGTTTGAGTCAAAGCCCAGCAGAACAGAGACGAGGTTCAGACCCAGTTTCCACTAAAGGTTTCCAATTAAGAGCTAGCTGCAGTGGAAGCATCAGTATAGAGTTACCTAGCTGCTGGCCTGCAGAGGGATCTTGTTGCTTTTGACAGGTTTAAGACAGCAGCTCCACCTTTAATTAGATTTACAGAGCCTCCAACCTTCATTTGTTTTTCGCCCTGGAGCCGCAGCCCATTTTTAAGTAATTTGAAGCCACATTAACATTTCACAAGGTTTAATTAATTAGTTTGAATGCGTCATTATAAACCCGAACACTTTTGTGGGTCCAAGGATATACAGTACATTGTTTTCACACTTAACTTGTTTATGTCTTCAGTAGGGCTGCTCAATTAATCGTATTTTAATCGCAATTATGATTTTGGCTTGCAACGGTTATGAAAACAACATAATCGAAATAAAACGATTTTCTTTTTAAAAACATTTTTTTAATTTATTAATTGGTTTTTCAGTTGAATTATACTTAAAGTTCAGGGTAATAAACTGTTAAAAACATACTGTTCAACATTTTTTTTAAATAAATGGGTGTTTTCAAAGTAAATGGATAATCATTTTTAATAATCGTGATATCAATTATTGATCATTTTTGCCCTAATCGAGCAGCCCTAGTCTTCAGACTATAACGGCATGTTGAAACGTTAGGTTGAAACAAAGCAGTGTACGGCGTTGTGTCAATGTGTGTGTTTATGTAACCTTTTAATGAAAAATACAAATTAAATACATTTCATTGTGATTAGTGATGTCCAATATGTCATTCAAAGAGTGTAAAATGTGCTTTTGATGCATTGCAATCAAGTCTGACAAAGCTTTTTCTCAAGAAGTCTGGAAAACTCCCACCTATACTTCTCAGGTATCTTCTTGAATTGCTGTCAGCTTGTGCGAACTGGTTGAAAGGGGCGGGTCGGGATGGAGAGGTCTAGCTGATCCACAAGCTATGCTGAAGTTTCAAGAGGTAGCTCACTGGAGTGGAATGGTCTGCTCCCACAACAATGCCATGTGTTGACAGCAGAGTGCTCGGACAGGGTTAGTGGAATGTCCCCTATCAGACTGTGAGACCTTTGTCCAAGCACTAGCACTCACAGAGTATTTATTCTTCCACCTGAAGATGATCTTTGCCTGCACAGCTTCACCAAAATAAGAAGATCTACGCATGTAAATATTTGTTAGAGTGAACTTAAGTTTCCCTAAAAAGTGTGTTTTTATGATAAGATACGACTCCCTTGTGAATCACTGGATTATTACTTTCCATTCCTTTTGGACTGCAAAAAGCTGCAACTGTCTGTGTGGGTGTTCAGTTTGAGAACAAATGAACAGTTTGTTCACAGTGTGTCGGCCACTCATTTGTCATGTGGTTGTTGGTCTTTAGTTTAATATAAATACCAGCTACTTATTTTAAAATCTGTTTATCTTGTGGATTAAATCAGGGACATTTGATAATAAAGGGGGTTTTCAACTTTTGGACTTGAAATGTTAAGTTTCCACTCTGCAGACTGAGGTGCAGGTTGTTGCCTGGCTACTTTGTTTTGCTCGAGGACTTTGCTTTGGCAAGTACATTGCTTTGCTAAAATGTGAATGTTTGCTTAGTTACACTTTATTTCATTTGTGCAAAAAAAAAATCCCTTGTAAGTAACCCAGGCTTTCTCTTCTTCTCTGTGTTTCTGCAGGTGACCCACATAGAGGTTCATAGATGTGACGTGGGTCAGGCAGTGCCCCTCCCAGCCTGGGCCCTCTTCATGTCCTTTCCTTAAAGGCAATGATTATCGTCTTAGACACTCTGCACATCTCCACTGTGTGAATGAATCTTTGCCGTAAAGCTGCTGTGCTGTGCCACCCTGTCACCATGAAGAGCAAGTATTCCCAATACTACAATCAGAGCCTGATCCACTCCTACTATGCCTTTGCTAAGAACATGACTGCTCAGGAGCTCGATACACTTATTGAGAATAAAAAGCAGCTGACCACCCTCAACATTGTCATCGTGGTCCTCTGCACCATCATCATACTGGAGAATCTGCTGGTCCTTATTGCTGTCTTCCGCAACAAGAAGTTTCACTCTGCAATGTTTTTCTTCATCGGTAACCTGGCATTCTCTGACCTGCTGGCAGGCTCGGCCTACATAGCCAACATTTTCCTGTCAGGGTCCAAGACCTTCGAATTGATTCCTGTGCAGTGGTTCATCCGGGAGGGAACGGCGTTTATCGCTTTGGCAGCTTCGGTCTTCAGTTTGCTGGCGATAGCTACGGAGCGCTATATTGCCATTACAAAGGTGAAGGTGTACGGCTCCACCAAAACGTGCCGCATGTTCCTTCTGATAGGAGCTTGTTGGTTCACCTCCATCCTGCTCGGAGGACTTCCCATCATGGGCTGGAACTGCATCAACAACCTCCCTGAATGCTCAGCTGTATTGCCACTCTACTCCAAGAAATACATCCTCTTCGTTGTCACCATTTTCAGCCTCATTCTACTTTCTATTGTCATCCTCTATGTGAGGATCTATTTGATTGTACGATCAAGCCACCATGAAGCAACCAACTCCCCGGCCTATGCTCTTTTGAAAACTGTCACTATAGTGCTGGGTGTCTTCATCATGTGCTGGTTGCCCGCTTTTACCATCCTCCTCCTGGATTCATCCTGCAGGATACAGTTCTGCCCGATCCTCTCCAAAGCAGACATCTTTTTTGGTTTTGCCACTCTGAACTCAGCGCTTAACCCTGTGATCTACACACTGCGCAGCAAGGACATGAGAAAGGAGTTCCTGCGTGTGTTGTGCTGCTGGGGGGTGCTGCAGAGTGGGCGGCCATCTGACCGTTGTCTGGTTCCTCTAAAGAGCTCCAGCTCTCTGGAACACTGCACCAACAAATACGAACACCAGAACACACCAATCATGAAAGATTGTACCACCTGTGTCTGAAAAGCTGCACCACATCAGAGTGGTTGAGTGCATGTAAGGAAGCAGGTGTGTTTATATGAGATCAAAAAGAAAGGCCGTGATGTGATCAAGAGACGTAAATAAAGAAGCGACCAAACTGTGTACGTTGATGCCTGGGAAAGCTACAATGTAGACGTTTCCTTATTACAATCAGAATTGTTTGAATTCACAATCAGCATTAACTTGGTGGCAGCCGGTGTAAAAACACAATGCTTCAAGAGGGAGACAATTCAGTGGGGAGAACTATCAGAAATGTGAAAATAGCTTTTTCATGGGTACTCAAACTTGTTGCAAAGCATTTAGTTGTATATGACTGTCACCTTTTTTCTACACATGTTAACCCCTATTGAAAGCCAAAAATAGACACATAACATGCAACATCAAAGTTATGGTGAGTTGTTTTGGTTGTTTCAGGAACTTCATCAATGCAAAGCTTGCAAAGTTGCACTTTGTAGATTACTTCAGATATTGTTGTCCTCAGTGAAACGTTACCAAATGACTTTCCTCTGTTAATATATGTAAAGATTAGGCCCAGAGATCCATCGCCTATTCTTTACAAAGCTGGAGACAGTAATCAACTTTACTCAGCACTGCACTCCAAAGGAGCCAAATTAACACGAGTGCTCCCTCACCAAAACCAGGGCTATATATCCCCTATATAACCTTGCTTTAACATTTGATTAACTATGACAAACTTACATAATCTGCTTACATTTAATGCATGAAATTCTAACTTATTTGTAAGTGCTAATGTATGTATGACATATTCCAGCTCCAGCTTCCATCACTAACACCCCTCCCCTCATATGTCCTCATAATCTGTACCTCTTGCTTTTACTGTTGTCTTTTGTATCTTAACAGTTTCCTTAGAGGAAGGCCTAATCAGAAAGCACATTTCCTGAAGTGAGTTAGCACTGATGAATCTTACTCAATGACAGCTGGACTAACTGGACCAATGTCCTGACAGTGTTGTAGCAACATAGCAGCAATGTGATGTGTCTGTTTGTGCCTTCTTCTTAGGGAATTTGGCTGAATGTATGTATGAAGTGTTTGGGGCAGGCGCTCCATTGTTGACAGTATTATTGATCATTATTTTGAATTACCAAGTCATGACTAGCAGAGAGTGGAATGAACAGGGTAGGTCACTCACTGTGAAGTCTTAAATAGCACCATGAACAAAAAATGTGTTGTAAACGTCATTGTTTAATTTGCTAGCCATATGTCTTGTGCAGCTAAAGAGGTAAACACGTCTCATATTTCCAAAGCCTTCCGTAAAAGAAATGGGAGAAGATCCGGTTACAAATGCATGGAGGGGGGATCTACCCTCATGGGAGGTCACCTTCATCCTCATCGTCTGACATCCTACAACATGTAACTTCCTTCAACCACAGGAAGTCCTGTTTTTCATTTTCCGGTTCCTGTTGTTCAGGGTTACACCAACCTTCTTCCCGTAGCCACACAATTAAAACTATTCTCTCCCCCAGTGTTTTATATATGGACTTTTACATTTAGACAACCAAGTAGAAATGGTGAAAAGCACTTTGGCAGCTTCAGTGATGTTTGCTTTCCCCCGGTTAGTTTTTTTCAGATGGAGAGGTTTTTGAATCTGTGTACCTATCACTTCATTGTGTTGCTTGACTCTATGATGTTTATAATAAATACATGAATAATTATGTATGTTTGTATGTAAGTATGTATGTATTTTTGTACAATATGTATGATGTGTGTTGTATGAAATGTCTCGTGTGCAATAGCCTTTTGTGTCCAGTAGCACGCTGCCTGTGTTAAATCGGTACAATCTGAAACACTAATGTAGGTACATAAACTTTTTGTTAATTGCATTCCGTTTTTTTATAAAATAAATGAAATAAATAAATCCAGTTTGTGTGTTTGACTTTAATTCTTAGCTGTAAACAATTTCATTGCAGCTGCAGCTTATCTGCAGGTCCTGAGACGTTCCCTATTGTGCCTTCATCTGAAACTTATTCAAAATGCAACATTTAATCCAAACATGCTCTAACAAGGTTAGGAAAACACTAGCTTCAACATGAAAGCCTGAAATTGGCTGTCTTGCCTAATAAAAATGTTCAATCGCTAAAGGCTAATGCAAGAGAGGGCTATGATGGGAAGCTGGGCAGAGGGCAGAGAGGGAGAATATGGGGTGTGGTGAAAAATATTTCTATTTGTAAGATGGTTTTTCTGAGAGAAGCACAGAAAAAGGCCCCGGGAGAGATTTTGGGGTAAGGGGGAGACTTTTAGTGAGGGGAGAGACTGACTTATAGTGGTCTTGGGAGAGTTGGGTTGTTTCCTGTCAGACGTCCAGGATTCCTGGGTGGGAACTTTGGCTGAATCAGCCCCAGGAGGCTGCACTGCTGGGAAGCCGGCCAAGCATTTCCAGTGCCCATGCAGGATATGACATAACGCTCAGAAACCTGTAGGTGAAGTTGTATACACAAAACAATTAAATCAGCAACAAGCAAGACAGATGTGAGCTTGTCTTTGAAAACAGTGCATGGCTTGGAATACTTCATATACAAAACATTTACAAAAAACAACACGTATATCATCTGAAGGAGTTTTTGTATATAATATACACATCATACTGCCTAAACTGTCTGCAAAATTAAAATGGATCACTTTTCAATTAAAATAGTTATATATATAATATATATAATAGTTATATATATATATATATATAGAGAGAGAGAGAGAGAGAGATCATTTATCTGAAGAAAATAAATTTGGCCAGGTTGAATGTGCAATTTGACAGCAAGAGGGTTTACAATCTGAAAAGATTATCAGTGACATAGCACCACCTTGTGGTGAAATGGGTATATAGCTGGTAATAATGAAGGATGTTTCCTCCATATATTCTTTAACTAGATGTCTACCCAATAAAAGCATAAAAGGGATGTTCCAGAGTTGGAGGATATTAAGACATGAAAACCTTTGAAAAAATGAACCTTTTATTTTCGAATGTTCTGTTATGTATTTGATAAAAACAGCTAGTAAACCATCAAAATAAATTATTTGGTCAACTCAGGCATCAAAGGTAACAGTGCAAAAAATACAACAGTGCAACTGTAATTATTAATCTAATTATAGTAACAGGGTTGCATACCATTGCTTATGTTAGCTTTTACCTTAGAAATAAATGCTAGCTGCAGAATGTCATGCTACCTTCAAGACAAGGACAAACTTAGATATTTAAATAAAAACAGATTTGAGATTCAATTGTCTTTTTTCCATTATGAATAATGGGTTTGGTTGCTTATAGTGCCAAAAAGATAAGAAACATACAGTGCATCCGGAAAGTATTCATTCCCCTTAACTTTTTTCACATTTTGTTATGTTACAGCCTTATTTCTAAATGGATTAAATTCATTTTTTTCTCAATATCCCACACATAATACCCCATTATTATAAAGTGAAAACATTTTCAAATAATTTTTTGCAAACACGTTAAAAACAATCAATTGAAATATCACATGTACATAAGTATTCACACCCTTTGCTATGACACTGAAAATTGAGCTCGAGTGCATCCCGTTTCCACTGATGATCCTTGAAATGTTTCTATAACTTGATTGGAGTCCACTTGTGGTAAATGAAATAGATTGGACATGACTTGGAAAGGAACACACCTGTCTATATGAGGTCCCACAGTTGACCGTGCATATCAGAGCACAAACCAAGTCATGAGGTCCAAGGAGTTGACTGTAGGCCTCAGAGACAGGATTGTATCAAGGCACAGTTCTGGGGAAGGGTACAGAAAAATGTCTGCAGCATTGAACGTCCCAACAAGCACAGTGGTCTCCATCATTTGCAAATGGAAGATGTTTGAAACCACCAGGGCTCTTCCTAGAGCTTGCTGCCCAAACCAAACTGAGCATCGGGGGAGAAGGGCCTTGGTGAGAGAGGTGACCAAGAACCCGAACAGGACAACGACCCTAAGCACACAGCCAAGATAACAAAGGAGTGGTTTCAGGATAAGTCTGTGAATGTCCTTGAGTGTCCCAGCCAGAGTCGAGACTTGTACAGGATTGAACATCTCTGGAGAGATCTGAAAATGGCTGTGCACCGACACTCCCCATTCAACCTGATGGAGCTTGAGACAATCTGCAAAGAAGAATGGGAGAAACTGCCCAAAGATAGGTGTGCCAAGCTTGTAGCATCATACTCAGAAGACTTGAGGCTGTAATTGCTGCCAAAGGTGCTTCAACAACGTATTGAGTAAAGGGTGAGAATACTTGTGTTTATGGGATATTTTAGTTTTTAATTTTTTTATTGATTTGCAAAAATTATTTTAAAACTTTTTTCACTTTGTCATTATGGGGTATTGTGTCTACAATGTTGAGAAAACAAATGAATTTAATCGATTTTGAAATATGGCTGTAACATAACAAAATGTGGAAAAAGTGAAGGGGTATGAATACTTTCCGGATGCACTGTATGAAAAGTAAAAGAGAGGACTTACCTTTGGTCTGCCCATGTCAGTAGCACATGGCTTTATAATATAATGTCGACTCCTCTATCATTTGACTTACAGTTTTTTCCTTCCTCTGCCAGGCTAAATAGGTTTCACTAACAGGGTGTGCGCATGTTGACACACTTTTAGTGTCAAATTAATGTTATTTGAAATGTGCTTATACTTTTACAAACTTCTTTGACCATTACAGGAGACATATATCAACAAAATTGTAGCAAATGAATAATAAAATAATAATGTAATATAAAAAGTATATTTTAAACGTTATATTTTAGTCACCAAGAAGGAGGGACAAGAGAAAAATGCCAGTTTAGGGAGTGCTCAAGAGCCTATTGATATTTTGAATAAGATTTTAAATCCACTATTCGTTCAACTTTATTTACGTTTTGCCTAAGGAAAGGAGAACAAGTGCATGTTTTAGCCTTTTGGTCATGGATTATTTTAAATGTCGTAGGTGGGACTGAAAATCTCCTCCATTTCTGGAATGACCCAAAAGTTGCTTAATTTTTTATCTGAATCTACACAAAAAAAGAAAATGCTGCAGCCAGATTCTGAATGGAAATGACACATAACAGCAGAAAGTGATTCGTGAATCTTTTGACATTTTACATACATATGCTTACTAAAGTGTAGTCGTTCACTTAAAAATAAATCCATGATCGTAGTGAGCTTGTTTTATCTAAAACATCTTCTAATCTAGTTGTTCAATAAATATAGAAATCTACAAGTGTAAACGAGCACGTAAGGCAAAAACTCTATAATTCACATGATAAACATTGTCTTGTATTACGTTTTATCATTCAAAAGTATAGCAGCCCTCATAAAACGAATTTGAAATGCAGGGATTTTTGCCAACATAGCTCATTAGTAAACAACATTCAGATTGCTTCCGCCTGGTCAGTTGTCAACAACATCTTGCAAGCAGTAGAGGTAAGTTGAGATAGTTGTTGTTCTCATGAAACGTATATTTCTTTATTTTTACAACTGTGTGATAATCAAAATGTTGTATTACAATGTATATGTTATACGACATGGGTTTTAAACCCCACAAATGCATTCAGGAGGGAAATATTTTGTAACGTATTGGAAGTGTTTCACCCATAGACACCAGCAGTGGAACAGTCCACAACACCCGGGTTTCCCCGCGAAAAGACGGCCCGCGCGCCTGAATTGCTTTATAGCATCCATTGCAAGAGACAGCAATCGAGAGACAGTCATTGTGGAGAAGCGCTGTAGTTACAAACGGCGTTTTTAACATTGTTTTAACGGATTTTTAAAGCAGTTTTATTGTTTTATCTCAAACGTTAACCTAGCTGTGTACCATGCCATCCAGGACTTCCCTGTCTTTGCCAGAGGATGTCAGGAAAAGGTACGTTAACGTTTGTAACCTCTGCTAATAATGTCTTGATGATGTAGCTTGCATGCAGCTTGTTGTCTTGTCCAAACGCCAAAGCTACATAAAACCCGTATAACTCTCTGCTCTACACTTGCTCTGGTTGTTGCTCCTCTACTATTTTGCTTATCCTAGCATCTGCACCTAGCGTTAGCTTGTTGTCACTTGACAGTTAGAGCTGGTACTGCATACAGAGTTAGCATCCTGTTAGCCACTTAGCATGTTTAGGCTGTCAATAGACGGAGCAGCGTGTGAGATTTGGCGCCACTCAGGAAGTTTTGCTGCCTTTTTATTTCTGCTAGCTGCAGCCACACTGGCTTTATTACCACGACCATGTTAGTAAATGTGTTTTCAAAATGACACCAACGAAGCTTTGTGTTCGTTGTTGACAGGCTGCAGGTGCTGGGCGAGGATGGAGATTCGGAGGAGGTAGGTTATGTCTGTTTCTAATGTTACTTACTGCTCTTGAAAGCCTGCATGAATAAAGTTTAATTCTAGATGCTCACTAATTAGTCTTGTTAATCACTTCCGTTCCGTTTTGAGCTCCAAAGAAGATTAAATAAGACTGTAGATTCACAGTGTTCTGCCTTAAATGGAAACTCTACTATTTTATTGTCTAATTCAATTATATTCTGTTGGCATGACTGAGTTTCTCAGATGCTTAGCGTGCTGACAGACATGTATTTAACTGTCATTTCGATATATAGTTTGGTGAATATCACCAAGGATATATAAAGAGAACAGGCAATACTTTTTTCTGCCTACAAGAAGTCAGTCTCCAGGTGACACATTTTAGCATCGATCACAGTCAACACAACAATCTAAACAGGCCATATATTGTACGATAGGATTTTACAATTTGTATCATGAACCTACTAAACAGCAATAGTTAAAGGGTCTTTTTTAGTTTCAGTGTTTTATTTTAAGTTGTCATTTTTGACTTGATCTTTTATTTCTTCTGAAAATGCCTCTCAGGATCATGTGAAAGAGAAACTCAAGTTGGTTCAGGACTTCCTGCATGTTGATGCTCAAGATCAACTGACCAGCCTGGAAGACAAGATGAACAAATCCGAGATCTCAATGGTAAGTGACTTTAACATTTTAAAACAATTTACAATTCTGAAATGTCACTGCCTATCATTTCTAATTGCGTGATGTATTGCAATGTTCTTTCCTCAGGAGATCTACATCTCTAAAGTAAAGGCCTTGCTGGGAAAAGAGCTTCATCTTGAAAAGGGCTCTCATGTGGATGACGTGGAGCAGAATGGAAAGACGAATGGCTCGTCAAATGGTTCCCAAAAAGATGAGAACACTGAAGATGTAACCATGGATGTACAGGAGGAAGAGGAGGCTGTCAAGTCACCAACTGCCTCCAAAGGGAAGGGAGGCCGTAAGAGCAAAGCAAATTCTGACACTAAAAGTAGGTTTTAGAATTCCTTTTAACATTTGCCCTATAATGGCTGCAATATAAGATGGAAATGAGCAACACTATGTTAAGATATTAAAGGAACAACTCAATCTTGTTTTTATTTTTAAAGAGTCTCCAGCCAGCTCCAGGGTTACAAGAAACTCTGGAAAACAGCCAACCATCCTGTCGATGTTCTCTAAAGTGTGCGTATATGATTTTCTATATTGTCTCGTGCTTTGTTCACCACTTCAGCAAGTGTAGAAAAAAATGTAAACAACTTTTCATACATCTTTATTCTGTGAATGTCTTGCAGTCAGAAGCGCAAGTCTGAAGACTTGAATGTCGAAGCTACTAATGGACAAAAATCTACAAATGGACAAAAGGAAGTTACGGAAGAGGATGTTGAGGAGGTGAAGCTTTTTTGTCTACTAGTGATTTTCAAACGTGTTTTTCTCCACTTGTCTCTTATATAACACTGACCTTCTAAATCTCTTGTAGGTCCAGGAGGAGAAACGTCTGAAAGTGGAATCAGATGAAAAGTAAGCGTTAAGATCCCTGAAAATGAATGATGGCTATTAACACTAATGGAACATACTAATACTTCTCTTTAATTCAGATCTGCTCCAGACAAATTGACGACTGAAACAACTACGCCAGTTTCTGCTGCAAAGGTAATGACGTGTCTTAATTTTGCTCAGTGTCATAGCGGTTACAGTTTATGTAAACTTTAATCTTTAGTACTGTCAAACCTCATGTATTTTTTATTTTTTTTTAAACAGACACCACCACCCAAATGTACAGACTGCAGACAATACTTGGATGACTCTGACCTTAAGTTCTTTCAGGGGGATCCTGATAATGCGGTGAGAATTTGTTTGCTACTTCCTGTGTAACTTTTATTTTTAACCTCTTAAGCCCCACGGACCCGGTTCCGTGGCTGAAATCGCGTGATTTGCAGGAAACAACGTCTAAGGGACCTTAATATTTAATAAACTATGAATATTTGATATCCTTATAATGAAAAAAAACTAATTTAACTGATCTTTTTCATAAAAAAAAAAAACACAATGCTAACAGTGAGCCTCTGAATTAGCCAGAGCGGAAAATGCTAACCTATTGCTGCACCGAAAATCACTCCTAGCTCCCTTATTACTTATCCTAGCGCACATCCAACACATCGTTTATGATCGTAAAGACACAATCTAACGGTGCCCAACTCAACACTGAAAGATACAAACTCGTGACGTTATCAACAAAAATGTGGATTCCTAAAGCTTTTAGTCTTCAAACCCATCATCCAAGGTTAGTTTTCACTATAAGTACAAAATATTTTTTGGACGGACACTATCATTTACAGTTCTTCACCATATTCAATTGGAATTTTCTTTAAAATAAAAAACATCTATATTGATTCTGACTTTTCTACATCCAACTCACAGGTTTATCATTACTTTGAGAAAAAAGATTATTAATTTGACCCTTTTAGAAGTGAAGTTATGGTCATTTGTTCTGGGAATGTCATTTTCGAGCCTGAAACCTGAAAAACAGGTTAATGAAACCTTCTATTACTTTAATGTTATTAAAATGTTTTCAATATACCTAAATTGATCAAACTAATGTGAAACCTGAAATGTCTGTGTGCTTTTTCAGCTGGATGAACCAGAAATGTTAACAGATGAGCGCCTCTCCCTGTTTGACTCTAATGAGGATGGATTTGAGAGCTATGATGATCTGCCACAGCACAAGATCACAAACTTCAGGTAAGCCATTCTTCACCAGTGACACTTTTGCATGTTGATCCAGTTCAGACGAACAAGCATGTCCCTACTCATTTTGTACAGTCACATGTTTTTGTATTGCAGCCCCTGAGTAAGTTGTAGTGTAACCTTGTTTACGTCTTGCAGCATTTATGACAAGCGGGGCCACCTTTGTCCGTTTGACTCTGGCCTGATTGAGAAGAATGTGGAGCTCTACTTCAGCTGTGTGGTCAAACCCATCTATGATGACAACCCTTGCTTGGATGGTAAATCCCACATTTCAAGATCTTGTAAATATTTATTTTTCTTTTAGCCATTACAGTCAACCAGATGGTAACTTATCTTTTTGGTTTTATCTCAGGCGGGGTTCCTTCCAAGAAGCTTGGACCCATCAATGCCTGGTGGATCACTGGTTTTGATGGTGGAGAAAAAGCCTTAATTGGTTTTACTACAGGTAGCTAAGTTTCCTGTTCCAACGTTTGACTGATTTCGCCCTGTATGAAGTACTAATGGTTATCTATGTTCATTATCTAGCTTTTGCCGATTACATCCTGATGCAGTCCAGTGAGGAGTATGCTCCCATATTTGCTGTGATGCAGGAGAAGATCTATATGAGCAAGATAGTGGTGGAGTTCCTTCAGAAGAATCGTGATGCTAGTTATGAGGACCTTCTCAACAAGATTGAGGTGAAGACTTTTTCCTACAAAATAATGTATTTGTGAATTAGGACGAGCTGCAATATTCATCATGGTCCTTTTTGTTCTTGGATCTGTGATTAATGTGATGCAACAATGCAATTTATTAAGAAATCTGATTTGTGTTTCACTTTTCTATTTTTATAATTCCTATATCCCATTGATGGTGTGATTGACAAAGCTTTTTTTTTTTTATAAACTAATTGTTCAATTGATTCTTCTAATGTAATATATTGCAGTTTAGAGCATCTGATATGTCAATGTTGACAATTTGCAGGCTAAATAATAACAATACTCAAAAATAATGTTGCTCATATCAGGGCACTATAAAAAAAGAATGCAGGAGTTGTTAAGCCAATATTTCCCGATTGATAGCAGAACATTCGTTCGTGGAAGGAAAATTGTCAACTTTTGTTTCCTGCCCTCAGACCACCGTGCCTCCTGCGGGGCTGAACTTCAACCGCTTCACAGAGGACACGCTGCTGCGCCACGCCCAGTTTGTGGTGGAGCAGGTGGAGAGCTACGATGAGGCCGGGGACACTGATGAGCAGCCAATCGTAGTTACTCCCTGCATGAGGGACCTGATCAAACTCGCCGGAGTCACTCTGGGAAAGAGGTATGTCTTGAGAATTATTATGAATTGGTTCCTTAACATTTGTACTGACATGTTTCATAAAAGTAGGCTTATGGTAACTGTAAAAAGTAGGCATATGGTAACAAGAGTGCTTCAATGGTTTGAAGTTATTCACTTAATATGTTGCTTATATTCCTGTATTTCTGCTCCTCACTCCTCGTTATCCCTTATGTCTAACATTCCTTTGACATTTCCTAATGCAGCATGCTGCTGTACTGGTAGGTAGGCCTTCCACATGCATCCTTAGCTTGTACCGTGGTGTGTTTACTGTTTACTGTAATGCATTTAGAAGCTGTATGGATCAAGTAACTACAGCGTTCACGCTAGACGTTGACTTTGTGGTTTATTTTTAGTTGAACTGCTTTATTTGAAGTTCTCACTATATGACAAGTGCCCAAGATTGATCTTCACTTAGTTACCACTGATTAAGAAACTCATTGAAAAAGATGTGTCTGTAGGCTTTGAAGAGAAGCTCACAAAAAAGTTATTTCTGTGTTTTGTATAAAACAAAGCTGTCTTTGTACTGTAAGAAAGTACCGTTGGTAAAATTGCTTTTATTTTATTTTTTACATTGAAGTCATGCAACCCTCATGGTTCTGGTGAAATGTAATTTAAACAAAAAAAGGAATCATAAAACCTAACAGTTTGTGAAGAAATTGTTATACAATGAAAGTCGTTTTTCAATTTAACCTTGAGCTCCTCAAAGGAAAGTCAGCCAAACTTCTAACTTTAGCATCGTGTACTAAGGGGTCTTCCTGCTCAAATGGAAATCTATTGCAAAGTTGAATATGGGCTTTTTATTACTCAGTAACTCAAACCATGCTGTAAGGATGTTGGCTCTATTGGTTGCTTATTCTGATTTGCTTAACCTTTGGGTTTAGGGTATTCTGCCCCAGATCTATTAGTCAATTATTAAGTTACACCTGGGCATCCTATATGCCTTCAGTAAGAGAACTCAAACACTATTTGGACCCCATGGGTTCACTAATCTATTATATCCTCGGAGAATCTTCCTAAGAAGTCTTTTGCAAAGCTTTTAATAATAATCATTTTGATTTTTAATAGCGCCTTTCAAGAAACCCAAGGACGCTTTACAATGGGAGATAAAATAACAGGTTAACTTGTGTGGGAAAACATGTTGGTCACCATCAATGCACACTTTGAACCTTTAGTCTTAAGTAGTGTTTTCTGTGGCCGAGGCCAGTTGCATCTAACGGGAAGTCTGCGTTCATCTTTAATGTGTGTTTGTTTGCTTGTTCCTTACGTTGCATGGCCTGATGCTGTGGTGTGTTGACAGCCGGGGGCTTCATTGTTGCCATTGCTCCACATATCATCAGGTGTTTATGCCCAGCCCAACAGACCTTTTCCTCTGAACACATTCCTCTGAACATATTCTATTGACAGGAGAGCTGCCAGAAGACAGTCCATTCGTCACCCTACAAAGATCGAGAAAGACAAGGGACCAACTAAGGCGACCACTACCACGCTGGTGTACCAGATCTTTGATACCTTCTTCTCTGATCAGATAGAGCAGAATGATAAAGAAAATGGTGGGGTCAAGAGACAGCGCTGTGGCGTCTGTGAGGTGAGTAGTGTCTGAACAGTGGGGCTGCTTCTTTTTGTAGAACTAAACTAATTGTCTGTTTCTTATGTACTTGGCAGTTGTAATTGAAACTTGTTGTGTATGCCTTCAGGTATGCCAATCTCCTGACTGTGGAAAGTGTCCAGCTTGCAAGGACATGATCAAGTTTGGTGGAAGTGGCAAAAGCAAGCAGGCTTGTAAGCAGAGAAGGTAAGATTGTCTTCTGAGCCGATAACGCCAAACATCCTTAATATGAAACTTCGGAATGTTTGAGAAGTGGTTTCAACCAAAGGCTACTCTTAAGTTGCTTGATGTGTATAATGTGCACCCCTGCTTTTTATTGCTGTACTGTGACAAGGACATGGGACAACTTTAGTCCTTAATTCCTCTTGTTGACATGTGTCCCTCTGTTAGATGCCCAAACCTTGCCGTAAAGGAGGCTGAGGATGATGAGACCATTGAAGAGGAAGAGTTTCCTGTGAAGGCCAAAAAGGTTACTAAAGTCAAGAGGAAGAAGCAGGCCCAGTGCAAGCTGTCGTGGATCGGAGAGCCAGCGCAGGTGTGTTACTTCTCCTAAGTACAAAGTAACTAGGGATACACCGATACACATATTTTCACTTCCGATCCGATTCCGATAACTAAATTTGGATATCTGCCGATACCGATACTATTCCGATNGGCAAAATGCATACATCGCAAAAGTGTATGCAGTCAATTAATAATGTCTGGTATAATAACTATATTTGAGGTTGTAGGATTGAGATTCTATAATATTTTGTATACAAAATATTATAGAATCTCAATCCTACAACCTCAAATATAGTTATTATACCAGACATTATTAATTGACTGCATACACTTTTGCGATGTATGCATTTTGCCTTAAATATGTATCCAACTGTAACTTAGATATAATTAATCTGTAGGTCACATTCTAGTCTACTACTATTATAGGATTAAAATGTTTTGCTTTGGAGCCAAGGCAGAGCGTATAAAAGTTAGCGCTGAGCTTCAGTCTGCAATGTTCAAAACAACAGACAAAGCCAGAAATCTAGGTGTAGTCATGGACTCTGACCTGAGTTTCAACAGTCACATTAAAACAGTTACTAAATCAGCCTACTATCACCTAAAGAATATATCTAGGATTAAAAGACTGATGTTACAGCAGGATTTGGAAAAACTTGTCCATGCTTTTATCTTCAGTAGACTGGACTACTGTAATGGTGTCTTCACAGGTCTCACTAAAAAATCTATTAGAAAGCTGCAGCTGATTCAGAACGCCGCTGCTCGAGTCCTCACTAAAGAAAGTGGATCACATCCAGTTCTGAAGTCTTTACACTGGCTTCCTGTGTGTCAAAGAATAGATTTCAAAATACTGCTGCTGGTTTATAAAGCACTGAATGGTTTAGGCCCAAAATACATTTCTGACCTCCTGCTAAATTATGAACCATCCAGATCTCTCAGGTCTTCAGGGACTGGTCAGCTTGCTGTCCCCAGAGTCAGAACTTAACATGGTAAAGCAGCGTTCAGTTATTATGCTTCAAATATCTGGAACAAACTCCCAGAAACCTGCAGGTCCGCTGCAACTCTTGACTACTTTTAAATCCAGGCTGAAGACTTTTCTTTTTGTCGCTGCTTTTGATTGAACTATTCATATCTTACACTGCACTGTAACTTTTGTACTTTTTATTCATGTACTTTTTATTCATGTAATTTTTCTTTTAATGTTTATTTTATTATCTTTTCTTTTTAATGACTGTTTTTAAATGCCTTTGTCTGAATGTCTTTCATTTTTGTAAAGCACCTTGAATTGCCCTGTGTTGAAAGGTGCTATATAAATAAACTTGCCTTGCCTTTGAGACATTAGAGACTATTACCGAGTTAATAGTTATTTCATTATGACTTAATGTAAATACGCTGAAGTTGTTTCAGTTTTTTCAATTTAGAATAGTCTAGACTATTTTCATAAGAACACATATGATGGAACATTTTGAGAATCACTTCTTTTATAAACAACTGTCAAATTACTTTGATGAAGGTGAAGGTTTAGAGAGGCTACAGAAAGAACAACAGCATAATATCCTGTCTGGATTTCACATTGAAGCTCAGACACAGGAAGAAAAGGCGATGAAAGAAATAACTGAGAAGGAAGTCAAACAAGACACCTGAGACAGGATATCCTATCAGAAAGCTTATGTGAGGCCAGAACAGTATATCTTGCTCTTTATTTGAGAAATGGTGCTAAAGATCTTGTGTACTGCATGCCAATATAAACACATGCCTCCAAACTGTTGTTTAGGTTTTCAGAGCCATGCCTACTTATCACAACCACACAAACATGAAAACATGTATTAACTATACTGCGGAACTACAGCTGCAAAAAGCTAAATGTATTTTTCTAACGTCCAAAGGAAGATTTAAAAAGGAGTTACTGAAAGGTAACTCTGGTTTTCCTCCTAATCGTAGCAAGAGACAGCGTTTCCCTCTCCATCAGGGCACTGACGGCTTCACAAAAGCCTCAGGTGTTTTTCCCAGAAACACCTGATAAGCCCCAATTACCAGAGCGTCTGCTCACAAAAAACCAAGGCCACACCGCCCCATTACACCCCTGCTACCTGTCACACTCTACTTAAACATGGCTCTACTTTCTCTGGGGGAAAGCACTCAAACCAAAAACAGAGCTCCTAACCCTTGACACAGCTTGAATGTCCAGGCTCACTCACATGTCCAATCTCCAGCAGACTAGATAAGAGTGGTGACTGAATGTTGTGTTTGGACAGTTTTTATTCACAGTTTATGTTGTTTGCATTTAAACTGTTTGTTTACTAGTAGACTCACTCAGCGTGCTACTTTGTTGAGCCGTGTGGTCTGAAGCATCCTGTAACACATCTTTCTCCATCTGCCCTTCACACTTACATGCCTCTGTGGTGGCAACAAACGCCAGACCAGTATTTTTTATTCACACACACTATCAACTGTTAATCCAACAGCATGAGACTATTTGATCTTCTTTCTTTGGACTTTCAAGATTTAATGACTTCCTGTGCCCTCTACAAGACACCAGGCTTTTTCTCCTGGAATAGACCCTAACTCATCCATACACAGCAAGCATCTGTTCTTTCCTGTTCAGTTTCACAGCGGTTTATGGTGGGATCAGTATATATTTATCTCTGAGAGTACTTTTCTAAAAATGTAAACAGAATATGTCTACACCTACCTTATCCCCTCTGCTTGTCGTGTCCAGCTTCTGTCTACCATCTAACAACTAGCACTAAGGAAGTCATTTAAGTTTTCCAGGGCAATAGCAGATGTGTGAAAGTCACAGGACTGTTAGAAATAAACTCATATATTGTTTTAGTGAAAAAAGAGTATTTACTCTGAAACAGGATTTCATGACTAATCCGAAGGCGTCTTTTTGTGCTGACGTATATCAGAAGGTGTCAATGTGGTTTCATAGAACAGAATAATTGTAGCTACTTTGAGAAAAATTCCATATTCAAAGCACAGCGATGTACTTTCAAGTGTTTACATGCCACTGGGGAGAAAACACATCTAACTATTACAACCACAAAGTTTCACCACTGTTACCATAAGCTTTAAGAAAATGACTTCTACTGAAAGATGCAGACACACAGTCGTTCCCTACACTTCTTGTGTTTATTAAACTTTATCAGTGATTACGTTGTCTTTACACTGCAAGCACACAAGCCATTGCACACATGGGCCCGTTATGGCAAGCCTTGTTTTTTTTCTGTTGCATCGAGTAGCTGCATGCATTCACTGTGCAACCACAGAAAAAACAGGGATAGGCTGTGTCTGCTGGCAGGTGGCTGCTCTGCTGCTCCATCCATCACTGAGCCCCGCGGCTCTGTGAGTGAAATCTTTTCACATCAGCACAGCAACACTATTGATTGCCCACAGTCAATTTCCAGGAAAAAGCAATAATGTTTCCAGTATCTCTCTAACTGGGATAAAGAGGATTCATGTTGCCGCTGTGACATGACTGGCCCTTCATACAACCTTGGTCACAGCACATACTAAATAAACCCAGTGACTCTTTAAAGTGGGAAGCAGTGTCTCTTCTGTAAGGTCAACATAAACCCAGAACAGTCCTTACATCCATGTGTCCCTGATCGTATCTTAAGCCGTCGCTGTTATCTTTGTTACGTGCCACTCTGCCGACAAGCTCTGATAACAAAAATGCCCAAAAAAAAAAAGCTACAGTATGTAAAGTACAAATGCATTCACTTTAAGAAATCATGACTGAATGCCACAGCAACAATTCTTTGTTTTTTTTCGCAACACACTCAATATTGAAACTCACGCTATGTACAGCTGTTTAGTGACAGTCAGTAAACGCCGCTCGTAAAATTCCCCAGAGACAGAAAGTCTGACACATTATGGCTGTGATTTCAATGGAGCCTAGTACTATAGGGGACGAAAGTGTGGGCGGAAGTTGATGGAGTTAATGAAACCATCAGAAAATGAAAACGCTGGGTTTTCAGGGGGAAGTACAGACAAGAAAGAGGAGAGCATGTTTCAGTGTTACAGTGCAACTTGCACGGTCTAGATGAACAGACTGAGAGATATGAGAAGGGGTCTGTAATATCTCACACCATCTAGCTTTGAGAAGAACTCAACTAGAATAACAACTTCTACAGAGGAAAAATAAATCGGCAAAGAAATGTCTGTAAAAGCCAAATAATGTTGCAGACGAACACAAATCACCTCCTTTTTCATGATAAAAACAAATAGAGAAGTAACACAAGCTTACATTAGAGAGGACAAAACAGTTCCCTTTTAACAATGGAATAAACGGTTCCCTCTGTGTTTGAGGTATTATTCAGCTCTAAAAACAAACCTTCTCTCTTTGTCTGTTATTATGCTAACATTATTCATAAAACTGTATATAAGCTGCTAGATATTAGGGGAGTGGGTGTCCCCAATACATGGAGTTTCAGCTTTTAATTAGGGATTACCCTTTCGCTCGTCAGACAGTTTGACAGTTTGGGTACAGCCTCTTCTGAGGGGTCCACTCTCTCAACACAGTTCAGTCAAGAACAATTTTCTGCTCAAAAGTGACTTGTCCTGTTTTCTGTTCCTCTCCTCAGTCCGTTCATCACTAGAAACGTTGCACTGTTTTTTTTACAGCAGCTGAACATGTGCTGAGGCTCTTAGTGTGGCATTGAGAGGAGCTGGAGACAAAGAGTGGAGTAAAAAAGGGCATCATACACCCTCAGGAGCCATAAACCGCATGACCGGCAGACCCTCCACCCCCAGCAGAAAACCCCAAAGTCTGCTCCATTGGGGGTCGGGGATCTCCAGGGGTGGCGCCTGAGAGGCAATTACTGTAATACCTTCAAACTCGGACCATTCCTGTCAACTACAGTCACTGTCTTCCAGATTATTCATGATTTGATATTGCTCTATTTTGCATATTTCCCTTTCATGCTGCTCCCTGATTTGCAGAGCCACATCTTCCTCAATCCAACACCCCCTCCTCCTCTCATATTTTAAACTTCACCACAGGGATCAAAAGACAAGGCCACAAAGAGGCGATTACATGCACATCAGGAA